ATCTTAATGTTTGATTGGTTTAAGAAAAACTTTTTCTGTGACCAATCTGAACTTTGCTGTTCCTAGAAAAAATTGTATTCGATTTAGCACTTAAACGATAATTTCTATCTAAGGATGTTAATTTTAATTTGATGATATTAATAATTTGCGAAATGTACATATTTATCATAAAAAACTTAAATTTGTCAGTTTTCTTAAATTAATAAATGGATTTGATTTACTTTATCATAACATTTCTTGCCGTTAACTGCATATATAAATTTTAAATAAATAATATTCCTTACCTTGTGACAACTACTATAAAAAAAAAATGTTTTTTGGACGGAAAAACAAAACAAAAATCATAATTAATCATGGAAAATAGAGGGGTTACGAGCTGTAAAATAAGCCTAATATTATCCTATTGGAATTAATAAATTTAAACCACTTATAATTTAAGGGTTTGGCCCGTACATCTCCTTCCCAAATTAGTTTGGGCTGGCAATAATGCACTTGTGTTTGATTAATGCCGAGCAAAGATCTGAATACCAAACCAGATCGGTATCTTCGTAACTTGACCGAACTTTCCGTTTACATTACCGCCACTTGCCACGTAAACTTTGTTCAATAATTTGTAGTGATTTACCACTTAGCAACTTAGGCAGCGATAAATTTACACGGGGGCACACATTGTTTTATCTGTGCAAGATGGAAAGCAGGTACACGTGGGCCCCATCACAGCGATTTATTTATTCAGGCCAGTCTAAGCAAATATTTGAAATCGAGAACCACTATTTTAAAATAACACCATCAGTTCGCAGCTAAAATACTGAAATAGTCTCAAAATGTTGGTTTTATTATAAAGAGAAGCATTTATTTGGAACAAAAATCTATGACAATTATCAAAATCGGTGCCTTTTAAAATATAATTTTATATTTGAGTCGTATGGCTGGCTTAAGCAAAATGATTCCTTAAAACGTAAAAGTTTTAGATCAATGCAATGTTTTACTGGCTGTCAACTTGTAAGCAATGAATTATCTTGAGAATTCATCAGTAATCCATTTTTCTGTTATAAAAAATTGGTGATCCCATTGGTAGAGAGGCGTCAGGCGGCTGTATGTCGGGGATTTACCACACGTGTACAAATTTTCCATAATATTAATAAAAATGTAGGTAAAGGTTAATATAACAACCATTACGCTTGAAAATAAAAAGTAAATCAAGTGTGTATGTATTTATATTATTAATGTTACAAGTACCCGACATACTGCCGTAAATTATTGATATATATATATATAATATAGGTCGGGTATGGACATCCTTTTAACATATTGAAAGTTTAATACTTACCAAAAAATAAGAATGTCCTCTTATGGATTCACCGTAATTAAAATCTAACTGAACAAAAATGCCACACTTCCACAACGCGGTATCTCCGTATATGCACTGCGTAGGTAGATAGGTACCAACCAAACATTTTAAAACGCATTTCAGTTATTACCAGTTTTTTCAGTCTATTTTGCCACTATTGGTGTAATTTAACTTTAATTGTGATACAATGTGCACTAGTAGTGTAAAGAAAAAAGAGCTCTTAGTAACATCAAAAGAAACAAAGAAATTGGCATGCACTGTAGTGTACATTTTGTTACTATTTAACACATTAAGGGGTAATAAACACTCGCATTAAGTTTTTCTACCCTTTTGATTTATTTTAATAATAAATAGTGTGAATGTACCAATGAATAATGTTCATATTCTTTAAATGTGTTTAATAAAGTTAATAAGCACTAAATGCTACCTAGTGTATTTTGTAGTGTAACTTACAACTCAACTCTAATATTTTTACCCCTACACTAAAATATGTACACGGGCAAATTTTTTTTTGACAATTGCACATACATAAAATATTTATAAAAAAAATCTACTTACTGAGATATTACACTTCACGGTGGATAGGTTTTTAAATAGCATATTAATTAACTTAAACTTTTGAATTATAAAGCAGCAACACTCTCATCTGCATATAAATTCTAACTGACCTTCAGAAATCACATGTATCTATAATGTTATAAGGTTTTTGCTTATTTAAAATGATTAAATCGCCATCCATTGCATAAAATTTAAAGCAAAAACAGATTCACGGAGTATAGAATCAATTTTTGTAACACCTACATAAATGGTTATAAAAATTATTTCTTTTAATTTTTAATAATATTTTAAATTTGATTCGATTGCTTTGGATGTGTTTAATTTACTTAGTGAACTGATATTTTTAGTATGCTTTTACTACCTCAGATATTTGAAACATATAGGTTAACCAAGAAAGAGTAAGTCACGAAGGATAGGTTTTAGACCTTAAAAACATTGTAAAAAATAATTAATTGCGGTTAAAAATCTGGAACCTGAGCTGTAATATCTACTTAATTATGAAAGATCAAAACACAATAAAACTCATTTAGTTTTATTAAATATCACGGGGTAACACCATCGGGGGACATTACGTAAGATTCACCCATATAGTATTTATTAGTAAGTTGCATTATTTTAACTTATTTTTGTGTGACTAGTCATATAAGCAAGATTTACTTTGTTATTTTGTTTTACTGATAAATAAAATTATTATTATTATTATTATTATTATATGCGTTTCAATTTAAACCAATATTTTCTTTTTTATAATTCACGTTATTTTCGCTTTTGACGGTGGCAGTGACAGTTCTATAGGCAGTGTTATTTAAAATCTAAAAATGAGTTGTGAAAACAAATAAAATTCTTTATAAAAGAAGGTATGGGAACAAAAAATATGCAGTATATGGAATTAAGTAAAAGTCTAGAGCATAAAATAAAGAGAAAAAAACAGAGAAAGTAGAAGGGTTATTTAAAAAAAAATAAAAACCAAATTCTGTTTTTTTTTATAATTTACTTTAAAAAACAAATGTTGCCTTTGATCTAAATTTATTTGAAAATACAATTAATTTTGATATTGCCATGTTACATGTATATGATAAATCATACTATTTTACATATATTTTTAAATACCTATTACTTTCGTTTAAAAACTAATTTGATTTATTTTAATATAATATTTCCAAAGCTTTATAATATTCCAAAATAAAATATTTCAATTTTTATACAAAACTTCATTCTTTTTACAATCACTAAAGTAATATTAATGCTTTATATAATGAATAAAAACCTTATAATTTAATAAAATTCTACACATCAAAATAATAAAAAACTCAACTGTTCTTATCCGATTCCTATTTGTTTTCAAGTTAGAGCGAAATTTAAAAAAATAAATTATTATCTAATGTTCTTTGAAAAACTATGAAAACAAAGTTTTTGTTTCCATAGTTATACATATTGTTTACATTTAAAAGGCCTAACTGTCAGCGTCAGTGGTATTTTTGTGGTATTGGTATTTTCCAGTTTAAATTTTTTTAAAATGCCAAAAGTTTATTCAAATTTAGAGTATGCTAATATGGCTTTTGTAATGGCAATGCCACAGCTGCTGTAGAAGAATATCGGCGACGTTTTCCACGTGAAAGGGCTCCTAAAAAACGTGTTTATTCGAGTTTTTAACAAACTTTGCGAGACTGCAGTCCATGGAACTCTTCCAAGTGCTAAAATAACATCTGAAAAAGCTGATCGACAAACTTTAGAAGAAGTGGAAAATATTTTGGATCTAGTGGAAGAAGATGCAACGACCGGCACCAGAAGAATCGCTACTCAATTGGACATTTCACAAAAACGGGTAATACACACACTTCACGAGCAAGGCTTATACCCATACCATTTACAAAGAGTACAGTTTCTACACCCGGAAGATTATGCTACACGTGTGGAATTTTGTCGGTGGGTACCTAACAATCGTAGAGTTGTATCGAGTATATTTTTTACTGATGAAGCAACATTTACCCGTGACGGCATTAATAATAGGCACAACTCTCACGTATGGTCTGACCAAAAAACCCCATGCTATAGTCGAAACTAATTTTCAGCAGTCCCTTTAAACGTAAGAAGGCGAATGTACTATCAGCATGATGGAGCCCCTGCACATTTCGCTCGTGAGGTCAAGCAACACTTGGATGAAATGTTTCCAGAGCGTTGAATTGGTCGCGGAGGTCCAATTAGTTGGCCTCCAAGAAGTCCAGATCTGACAACACTAGATTTTTGTTTATGAAGTTGGTTTAAAACTAAAGTTTACAAAGTTAAAGTGAATAATCGAGAGGCACTAATTCAACGAATAATTAATACTGGCGCAGTTCTTAAAGAAAAACAAGAGTTAACAGGACAAGCAACAGGCGCTGTTCGCAGACGTAGCAGAGCATGTTTAGAACTCAATGGGGGTGAACACCTTATAAAAATTCATAACTATTAAACAAATGTTACCGTTTCATTTTATTTATTTTTTAATTACGCTATAGCTTCAAAACATTTAAGTTTTTTTAAATTAAATTTTAATTTAGTTTGTTATAATTGCTCCATGGTGATTAATAGTAAAATAATTAAACAAGTAATAATTTACGGCGGTTTATATGTTTTTATGGAAATAATAATTATTTATATGTTAATTAAAATTAATTAACCAAATAATGGATATAATTGTCACATAATTTATTGTCGACAACGACTGCCTTTGATATCAAAGAGCAATAATTTTAGGGAACACAATATATAACGATGGTGTTAATTGACTGATTATTGTGAAAACTTGCCTGTATTGTGAGCATATATTTGTTCACGGCTATTACCGAATGACTAATTGGATTATTTTACAGTAAAACATACATAAAACGCATTCTGTAATTTTCCGGCTTTTTGTCCCGGACAGGCAAAACTCGATTGCCTCGTAAATTCATTGTTTTTTCAATACGCTCGGCAAACACGAAGATGAATTTTATTTTTGATAGGCTGTAAAGTAAACACAATGACAGCATGTTAAAGGGGAGTTAAAAACTCGTTTTTTCTGTTTTGAATTCCGATAAAATACGCACAAATTTTTTCGATGGGTTGGCTATAAACTTTTCAATTTTGTTTTTGTTTCAGTGCCGGCGAAAGTCGTTTGGGGAATACCTGGCAAAGATGTTGACCTACCCTGTGACGTTTCACCCCCGGTTATGCATAACAATGTAACAATGGTGTTTTGGTTTAAAGATGGCATCAAAATACCTTTATACAGGTAGGTTGTTTTACATATTTTACCATTTTAAATGTACCATTTTTTGTTATACTTTGTTTTATTATAAATATTTAAATATTTAAATTTTCAAAAAAAACTTTACTGCTAAACTAAAAAAATTCTTAATATTCTTAAAAAAAGTCATAACTAATATTAATACCAGTTATTTTTTATTTTTTGTTGTTTCCCTGTTAGTCTAAAATGTTGTTTTTGGTAGTGGAGCCGTCTAGACAAGACAAGAGTTACTTACTCTTGTCTTGTCTTGAAAATTTCAAGACAAGAGTTGTGTGAGTCTAAGTCTTGATTAAAAAAGCTTAATGCGGTCTTGTCTAGATTAACTAGTCTAGATTAACTAATTTAGATTACTATTTAAGAGTCTAGATAGACATTTTGCGTCTGCGCAATGTAACCCCCACTCTTGTACAGTAAATTTATTATTAAAATAGTTTTAAATATACAGTGTGTATTAAAACGAATAGATACACTTAAATAAAACAAGTGCCTAACCCCGCCCACTGTGGTAGGGCTGTTTAACGTGCGCAGGAATTTTTATGATAGGCTATGGTATTGTTTCTGTCTATTTGAACATTTAATTTAGAAAAAAGTTATTTTTGTTATTTTAAAATTATTTTTGTTTGAGAATTTATAGGTTTTATTTTTATCGAATTCGTTTGTTTTGTTTTAATGCATTTCTGCAAATAAAAACTAAGTATTGTTTAAAATCCATTAAATTCCAGTTAATGGCGAAAATGTATTTCTTAAAAATTATACACATTTCCCTACGACAGCGTCGGAGCTACTGAACAAAACTGCATGCCCTTGTATCTGGCTGCATGCCGCGCTGTTGCCATATGCTATTATTGTTTCCTAAAAGGGTTGTTTTTCTTATTTTTTTAATATTAAAAGTAAGAAAATTAACTAAATCAAATTATTTTTGACATATTATTAATTTTTTTTGTTATTTTTAAAGTTTCAAACAAATAAAATTGAACTATTTAATAAATAATTATAATCGTTCTCTTCTGATATAAAACAACCTGGCAACTATGGTTCGTAATTACGAATGGCTTGGTTTAAACCACGCCCAATTAAAGTTTGTTTCTTTTTCTCTGATCAGAATATAATTTATTATCCTTGTCTCCAGACTTACTTACTTGATTCTATACAGTCTGTATGTAGAAAATAAGCTCATGATTTCAATAAAATATATATATATTCCTAATATGTTAAAAAAATTCATGAAAATTATGCAAAATCCGCCGACCTATACCTATTTTTCCCCTTAAAACATATAAAACGTTTTTAAGTTCTTTTTAATAAAAAATAATAATTAAATGAAGTTTTTTAATATTTTTTAAAAAGTTAAATTTAATCTAGTCTTGAAAATAATCAAGAGTTTTGGCTAAAGTCTTGTCTTGTCTTGATAAACTTAGACAAGATATGTCGACGGTCTTGTCTTGATATTCTAGACAAGACAAGACAAGACAAGAGTCTAGAATGTGTTAGTCTTGACGCCAACACTAGTTTTTGGGAAGCCACATACATTTTGTATATTAGAGCTTTACGGAGGTTAGGATTTCGTATGTTCTTTTTAAACATCCCTTTGTATATTGTATCTTTTGAAACCTTAATATTTTTAAAAAATGCAATTGGACATACATAAAATAATTATAAAAAAATCTACTTACTTAGATATTACACTTCACGGTGGATATGTTTTTAAATAGCAAATTAATGAACTTAAACTTTTGAATTATTAAACAGCAACACTCTCATCTGCATATAAATTCTAACTGACCTTCAGGAATCACATGCATCTATAATGTCGTAAACAGAGGTTTTTGCTTATTTAAAATGATTAAATCGCCCTCTGTTGCATAAAATTTAAAGCAAAAACAGATTCACGGAGGATAGAATCAATTTTTGTAACACCTACATAAATGGTTATAAAAACTATTTCTTTTAATTTTTAATAATATTTTATATTTGATTGGATTGCTTTAGATGTGTTTAATTTACTTAGTGAACTAATATTTTTAGTATGCTTTTACTACCTCAGATATTTGAAAACATATAGGTTAACCTAGAAAGAGTAACAGTCACGGAGGATAGGTTTTAAATTTTTAAAACATTAATTGCGGTTAAAAATCTGGAAGCTGAGCTGTAATATCTACTTAATTATGAAAGATCAAAACACAATAAAAGTGTAGGTCAAACTCATTTAGTTTTATTAAATATCACGGGGTAATACCATCGGGGGAAATTTCGTGAGATTCACGCCAGTACAAAATATAAAAGTAATAATTTAGAGAGTTCATTTTTCTTGAAGTTATACGGCTATTCAGATAAATATGCTGGCAATCGATGGCACAGTTCTATAGAATTTATTTGGAAAAATTGTGAAGCTACAAGCATACCGGAAGTGAAATGTGGAGTATCCGGAATATATTTAGCAAAGTTCAGGATATATAAATCAAAGTCCTGGAGCAGTAGAGCAAATTGCTGAGCTCAATACTTTTATACCAGCAAAATGCCCCCTAGGCGCTTCGCATGTTTTGCTTTTGAGAATAATCAACATCTTTTTTGAAACTACATATATAAAACTACGATATTACATATTTTAATATACAGCAGCAGAGCCGTTCAACTAAACTGCAAGATAAGGGAAACTATCCAGGATTTTTATTAAAATTGAAATTTTTAAATATAACCTTTTCATTATTCTGCACTGGATAACTTTGATCTTTACATTTTACATTCAAATTATCTCTACCCATTTTATTTTCATTTTGTAAAATTAGCACGACCAAGCTTTTTAATGTGAATATTTCACCTATATTTTTATTAAATTTTCTAAAACGTATTTATGAGAAAATCGTTTTAAACTTTTAGTAAACGGCCGTTATTATTTATAGTTGAAGGTTCACGTACCAAGTAATAAAATTGCAAGTACATGACTTTATGACGTGTTTATTATTTATTCCTGAATATTTTATTTTTAGATTTGTTCGATATATGCATATCAAATCAACCAATTATGCTTGCTGACAAAATTCATTTATTTTTAATTTTTTTACCTATGTTTGTATTGCATGAAAAAAAAAAAATATATCAGCTTTACTTATAAAATCCTTTTTTTATATAGGTATTTTTTTGTAATTTTTTAAATTTAGTAGTTTTTAAAGTAAAATTATATATAAATGTTAAAGATAAAACTAAGACTGTTCTGGATGTAGTCTTTATAGTGAAGTACCTGCATGCTTCATTAACAAGTTTTTAAAGGGTCTTTAAATATTGCGATTTGTCTAAAATCGGGTATTTTTAATCATAAATATCTCAGAGACAAAAACAAAATTTTCAGAAAACATTTCATTATTGTTTTGTAAGTGGTTAAAACTTTAGCAGTAAAACATATTTTTAAAAATGTCCAACTTAAAAATAAAGTGGACAGTTATCGGATAATTGACATTGGACATTGGACAATTACATTATTACTGTAAAAACAAGAGTTCTATAAATGGCCAGTATCCAATTACTGGTTGGTAAAACATGTAGGTAAATTTCTATTATTGGACAATGTCCAATATTATACTCTATTTGTATCCCGGACATTTACCAGCCAATTCTTATGATGAATTGTCCCCTGAATCCGAAAAGACCATAAAAAACTATAAAAGTTAAGCCGTTTTTGAGATATAGTCAATTCCATATTATATGTAAAATTGATTATATTTCAAAAACTCTTTTACTTTTATAACTTTTGAAGTTATTTTCGGAATCAGCGAGTAATATTTCAATTGCTGTTGACGAGAATTATTAGTGGCTGCTTTTCCTATATGAGATTTTTGACTAATTCATTTTTAGAGAGTAAGTAATATAGTGATTTCTTTGTCACAGGACATCTTGCAGAATAACAGTGATTTAAATACAGTGCATGATAGAGAACATAAAAAACTAATGGCAACAAAATTAATAAATTCGGAAAATACTTTTAACATACCAACCGAAAAAATATTAGATATATATATAAACCATCCTGTTCCGGCCTAAACATTATAAATGCTTCGCAAACTAGAGATACCACACTTAATGATATTTGCAACAAACTATTTCAGAAGTCAGATCAAGGAATTAGTAATTACCTTCAGAATCCGAGAAAGAAATATATGAATTATATGATATTAACAAAAACGAAATAAAAAAAATAAAGTTGTTATGTTTATATAAAAATTGTATGTCCAATAACTTTGGTTCATGTGTCCAATTACTATATAAAATGTCCAATTACCATACTTTTTTGCATGTTTTATGAAACTATTATTAAAAGTTCAAATATTCTTATTTTTAAGTAAACGTAAATAAAGTTTAAACAAACAATCCTTTTTATATATTTATAAGAAAAAAACTAAAATCTTTAAAACAACGGCATATATAAATTTTAAATAAATAATATTCCTTAAGTGTCCAATAACTTTGTGGTTTAGAGATGAAATTCTAACAAACATTTTGTATTGTTGTATTTTTAATGTATTTACTTAACAAAAATAAAATAACAACCAGAGTTGTTGTTTAATCATAGGGTTATCGCCTAGAAGCAATATAAGTTCTCCAAATATAATCCACTGTATGTATTTTATTAATATTTACGTACCTACAAAGTGGACTCTCCACAAATAAAAAGTTAAAAAAATGGCGGATGCGCCGGGATTACAAATATATTTATTTTGTGAAACCCACAATCCACACAACAAGGTCTGTTCTATCTCATGCTAAAAATACTAAAAATCACTGCAACACTGCACAGAGTTTAACGGCGGCCATTTTTGTTGTTTACAATTCTTGTGCTTTGAGTTTGTGCTGTTTAATAATTGTTTTAAACGTTGTGTTTCTTACAGAGGCACTTGTAAGCCTCAAATAAGGCCTTTAAGTGCTAAAGACAACCATTTTACTCCTCTTTTATAATAAATATACCTTACTCTATCAGGGCTGTCAAATGACAATTTGAAGGTTAATTTGTGGGTTATAATTTAACCTTAAAATTAACATTTGACTGTTTTATGACAGCCCTGATAGAATAAAGTTTATTTTTTACAATAGAGGAGTAAAATGGTTGTTCTTAGCACTTTAAGGACTCTTTTAAGGCTTACTATGAGAAACACAACGTTTAAAACGATTATTAATCTGTATAAACAGAGCACAAACCCAAAGCACAAAAATTGTAAACAACAAAAATGGCCGCCGTTAAACTGTGCAGTGTTGTAGTGATTTTTTGTATTTTTAGTACGAGATATAACAGACCTTGTTTTGTGGATTGTGGTGAAACATATCAACTATTCCAAATTTAACCCATCCTTTACAGACTATAATCTACTAATGGCAGATACATTTTAAACCGGCCCCATTACAAAAAGTACAATAAAGATTCATTTTAATTTTAGCCTGGATGCTCGAGGAGGCTCTTTAAGTGCGGCATCGCACTTGGCCATGAGCGACGACCTTGGTGCCAGATCGTTCTTTATAACGGACGAGGACCCTGCTAACGCTCGTCTAAGAATACACAAGGTTAATATACACGACCAGGGAGTTTTCAGATGCAGAGTGGATTTCGTCAACTCGCCCACCAAAAACTTCCAGATCAACTTAACTTTAGTAGGTTAGGCTTTCATTATTTTTTATATTCACTTTGAAATCGATTTTTGTTGTTGCAATATATCACTTTATAGTCTAAACACAGACCACCAAAACAAATGGACGGCGCATTGCCATTCAATAACAATGCTTTGTTTGCGGTCAACAAACGGTCACAGTCTAAGCTTCAAATTGGAGATAGAATTTTATGTTTCCTTCCAGTGACGTCAACAAACGGTCACAGTCTAAGCGTTAAATTGGCGATAGAATTTTATGTTTTCTTTCAGTGACGTATTGGGATTAAAAAAATAATAAGTAGGTAGGTACTTACAAACGATATTTCCATGTATTGTTATTTTTAGTAAAAAATAATGTATTTAAACTCCATAATTAACTTAAACACGATAGAAATACACAAACGAAAACACAAAACAACAAGCTGTCAACCTTTTTCTATGCTGTTAAATATGACGAATTTACCAACGTTGTTATTATTTAATTTTAATAATTATTAAATGATTTACTTTCTTTAAATAGAGAAAAATATCTAAAGAAAATGATGAACAAATCCTTTTTACAATTTTTTTATTATTCAAACGAATGATTGGTAATTATTAATGTTCATTATGTTATGATGAACGTCCAAAAAGGCGTGTAATCTATACTTCTGACAACGTTGAAAGCCGTGTTTCTTTCGACGGTGTTTAGAATTTTACTTTTACTCGCTTTTTAAACGTAAACAAATCCGTCCATTTGTTTTGGTGGTCTATGAGTCTAAACTAAACCACAATCCACACAACAAGGTCTGTTCTATCTCGTACTAAAAATACAAAAAATCACTGCAACACTGCACAGTTTAACGGCGGCCATTTTTGTAGTTTACAATTTTTGTGCTTTGGGTTTGTGCTCTGTTTATACAGATTAATAATCGTTTTGAACGTTGTGTTTCTCATAGTAAGCCTTAAAAGAGTCCTTAAAGTGCTAAGAACAACCATTTTACTCCTCTATTGTAAAAAATAAACTTTATTCTATCAGGGCTGTCATAAAACTGTCGAAAGTCAATTTTAAGGTTAAATTATAACCCACAAATTATCCTTCAAATTGTCATTTGACGGCCCTGATAGAATAAGGTATATTTATTATAAAAGAGGAGTAAAATGGTTGTCCTTAGCAAAGGCCTTATTTAAGGCTTACAAGTGCCTCTGTAAAAAACACAACGTTTAAAACAATTATTAAACAGCACAAACCCAAAGCACAAGAATTGTAAACAACAAAAATGGCCGCCGTTAAACTCTGTGCAGTGTTGCAGTGATTTTTAGTATTTTTGGCATGAGATAGAACAGACCTTGTTGTGTGGATTGTGAACTAAACAATGGGTGTAGTACAGGGTGTCACCTAATAAATTGTCATTCTTTGGGGATGATAGAACAAGCCAAAACAAGAAAGTTTTTCCCCTATTATTTTTGCATTAGGGCTACTGTTTTTTAATGCAAAAAAATATGAAATTTTTTTGACAAGTTAACACATTAGAACAACTCCGCGAACTGCAGCGGCAGATATAATCCGAAATCATCCGTATATGATAGCAAGAGCGACACACCCTTTTTGGTCAAATTAAATCATACTAAATAGAAAAAAAGTAAACAGGAAGTTTCTTGGCGCATTACTAGTATATTACCAGTGGTATTATTCCAGAAAATTTTAACCTTCAACTCGCTAGAGATAATGTTTTTAGTGCGTTCCACCAACTTAAAATACTTCAAGTATTGACAGGTGTTTCTACCTATTTAAGGTCTCTTTAGTATCAAACAACTTGTAGTGTCACACCAAAGCAAAGGACTACCTGAGCTTATATACTCTTCATGTAAGTCAACAGAGGCGAGATTTAAGAACATCACGTGATGCACAACGCCTTTGCCGCGATCGGTATATACTATGCAACCAGGGATGCACGGCAAATTGTTTTAATCGTTTTAACAGAGTGCTTAGGTTGAAGTAACTCTTATTTTACAAACAACATATTTAGTAAACTGAACTAATCTTTGTTTTTATTAACCTTCCCACAGTTGATTTAAATAAACACTTATGGGTCAACTATATTAATATAGTTAAATTAACTATTCCTTTTTTTTCTGTGAAGGTTCACTTCTCAAATATTTTTAGATAAACACCGTTTTGGTGTTTGCTGTATATAACATTTTCAAACATAATTCATGGTGTTTATATTAACACCACTTGATGTTGGATTTAGACACCATTTTGAGATTACCCTTTACACCACAGATATTTTAAACAGTGTAGATGTTCATAGAGCGTCAATTACGGAAATAACTCAATAATTTTTTGACTGCTAAAAATATTATTATTTTATTTTTTACTTTGTTAAATAAGGCATAACGTATAATGAACTATATTTTATTGAAAAACATAACGGTTTTTATTTTTTAAATGCCTTTAGATGGTCCTAGAACATTAATTGAGGATATAAATAAATAAATAAAAACATAATTTGAATTTTAACATTTATTCCATTAATAATTTCTTAACTTCTTAAAGTGTGAATTGATTTTCATCCAAATTTGGAAATCTTCTCTTTAAATTTTCATAAAATAGACTTACGTCTTTGTCACTATTTAATAATAGTTCTGTTAAAAATTCAAAAGGAACGCAGAAAGTACTCATTTTAAAAAATCACAAAATGCAATAGTTAAATTTGCTTTCGCTATTCATAATATATGCGCAGGACTTCAGGATGTGATAGCTTATCCAAAAAGATGAAAAAAGTCGCTATTAACTTACCCTCTAAAATGCACAATTTTCGAGATACAGGGTGTTGAAATTTTAGAAAAAAAATCGTTTTTTTCGAATATCTCCGGAACCGTTTATCGTACAAAAAACAGCTTTTGTAAGCATTTTCTACTCAAAATAAGCTATGTTTTGTGCCAGAAAAAAATTGTGCATTTTAGAGCGTAAGTTAATAACGACTTTTTTCATCTTTTTGGATGATTTATAACATCCTGAAGTCCTGCGCATATATTATGAAACACCCTGTATATGTAAAATATGATTGCCATATAAATGAGCGAATATTGTTTTACCTAATAGTTTTTACCTTTAAAGGTGCAAAACAAGGGATTATTAATTAATTTATAAAATATTTTTCCTTTAAGATACCTACATAGCAAAGGATTATCTATTAATTAAAACCTAATATTTTGTATTTTGAATAGGTAATTAATTATTAATCCTGTAGGATAAGTATACTTTATATATATTTTTTAATAATATTAAAAAAAAAATACATGTTGAAATATTTATAATAATTAATAAATTCAACTAAAACTTATGAGCATAGATCTGTGGGTACGAAAATCTTGATTTAGCCGTGCAGCGCGATAAATAAAAAATCATAACTTTTTCATATGTGTATATTTGCAGCTAATTTTTTGTGTACTTATAAAGTAAAGTTTACTGCACAACCTAATTGTAGTTAAATGCCTATATGAATTTTTTTTCTCTTAATTTTACCAATGTGTCTTTAAAACGTTAAAACTTTAAATTTTTATTTTTTTATTCAAATAGGAATTTTTGTATTTGTAGATTAAGGTGTACTTTAATTTTATTAAAAAATATGTATACATTTTTTTGTTCGATTAAAAGATATAGTTTATTAAATGTGTGCCTAATTTTTAGCCAATTTTACTGTTTTAAAAAAATTCTACTTTGAGGTGTCATAAAATCAAAACATAATTATTTAAAAATAATTCTTTACCAAAATCTATTGCTTTAATATGTTTTTACTACTTTCCACTTTTCTTATAAAAATTTTAATGATTTTTTTATTATAAAAATTACATTAATGCAATTATAGAGGAAAAACTTTTTAATTTTGGCCTTTACTATCATCCCCTCAAATGATGACAACTTATTTAGTGACACCCTGTATATTTTTTGAGTCACAAAATCAATTTATGTAAGTAACATAAACCGTGGTCACCGAAAATTAATTTTTCATCCCACCCTATATTTCTTTAACTCTCACCATGATTTATAACATTTTTTATTAAGAAGATAAAAACGGCGAGCGTAATATTTTAAATGCCCCGCCTCACAAGAGACAGCCTCTCCAACTCTCCAAGTATTTAAATTAAAAAATATTTTTGCCATTTAAGGACTCCTCCTTGCTTAATGCGACAGAGCAGAAACATGTACACTATATTTAATTTACAGAGCAGCCTTCGTCTCCGAAAATATTTGACGCTGAAGGGCGTGAAATAAAACTAAATGGGGTCGCAGGACCGTTTCTCGAAGGACACGAGCTGTTTTTGTCCTGCCAAGTCACAGGAGGTCAGTAAATAAAGAATGAGACAATATAATATATAATGTAGTAATTTTTGTAAATATTTCCTTTACTTGATGAAACTCCATGTCACTAATTTTCGATGAATTTCAATCGCAAATAACTTTTTTATTTGATGTCGGATTTAAACGGACAATCGCTCACATTTTAAATTACTAAAAAATAGACGTACGTTTCTAATATACAGGTTTAAACAAAAACATGTTTTTTACCATAAGTTTAAGACACTCTGTAGAGTGGCAAAACCGTATATTGTTCTAAATTAAGTTTTATTTATCAAGTCACATCTATTTTTAACAGTTTTGTTTTTGGTTCATCTCGATATATTTATTTTTGTGGAAAACATGGATTTAAAAAAAACATTGCAAAATTTCCAATTTTTTTCTGTATGAAGAACTAAGGTTGCTATGGTCCATCCATAGCCTATGGAGGATGACAGTGACAGTTTTGTTGAATCATCCCATACTTGGACATGTCATACACGGCTTTCAAAAGCTATCAAATTGTTTTTTGCAAATTAATGTTTAAATTTTGAGATATCTTCTTACTTTAAAAAAATGGATATGTGTCCGATTGATGTTGCCAGAGCCATTAATTTAATCCAGGATGGACGGTCACAGTATTACGTGGCAAGTGTTTTAAACGTCACAAGAAGTGAAGTACAA